TTGTGCGCCATTACTTTCAACTAGAGAGGAAAACTTGATCAAGAGGTTTTGTTCTTTGTACAATTCCCACAGACGGCGCCACTTACTCTACTATTACCTTTCCACAGACAGCACCAATTGTACGAGCACGAAATAATCTTCTCGTATAATCTTGTTGATCAAGTTTGCACTCCTTCAAACGTCGTCGCTTTACTTTCTGAAAACACAAACGTGAGCTAGCCGGCAGGTGTGTGCCAAATACCTCTCTGATGCCTAAGTCAGCAAAATAGACAATAGGCAAAAACTTTGTGTATTCGAGAATCAAAATTGTGATACCTGTACGTAGGTTTACTATGAGCTTTTATAAATCCTGCCAGGTCCATTCCTAATAGAATTCCAACTCTTCCTTATAAGAGACCTTCTAGGAATCACACACCCTACTCACTACAAACCAAGTGAGATGATCTACCCAATCCTAGCAGGACCGTACTTTCCTTAGCAGAGTCCTCCTCGGAATCAGAAAGGTAATGCTCCTCCTTCTACGTCTTTCTCACTTACTCAAGGGAGATGATTTTACCACTGTAGAATACCAGAACGACCGAGCTAACTTATGCCTTCCGACATACTCAGCTCAACTGTTCTATGGGTAATGCTTAGCTCGGTCCCGCCTACCTATACCTTGGCTGGGACTACTCAAACCGAGCTAACTGCGGCCCACCTCCGACCGAACTAACAGAACTAAGTTCCATTTTGCGAAGCCCAATCACTTCGGCCCTAGCTCGTCCCATTACTATACCTGGATTCAGCTCGACCCTAGTTCCATTAAACCAATCCATTAAATCAAACATAACCCATTATATGATCATCATCCAAACAAAAAAATAACACCTAATTGGTATACATTAATGTGTGTTTGAGAGGGAAAAGATTAAGTACACACCTAACATTTGGCATAATGCACAAAGTGATGGTCACAAGACCTGAACTCATAACTTCAAGATTATTAGGCCAAGTTTTAACCATTAAACAAATGGTCACCCTTATTATCATCCAAATACATAATAAAAATTAATTTGATAAAATAAATAAATAAATGTGTAAAGATTTATCGATTTTACATAATTTTATCTTTGATGGGTAGAAATAATTTTTAAAAATTCAAAAATATTTTTTTGACATTTATTTTTGTCAAATTAGTTTATAATTTATCAAATTGACGACTTTACCTTTGAAATTGAGCAATGGTATCTTCAATTGCCCTTATTTAGAACAAAATTTAAAATTTATGATCAAATGTGTCGCAGTTGAAAAGTTATGGACCAAAGTGATGCGAGTTTCAAATTATAAAGATTTTTAGTATAATTCAACTTTTTTTTTATATTTAACGAAAAGATATATAAAAAAATAAAAAAATAATGTGACTTAATTCAACAAACTTATTTAAATAAATGTACGTATTTAATTTATGTCAAACAGTATCTTGAGTTAAATAAGAAAGTTAACATGAAGTAAATATGGAACTTTCCTAGATCTCACTAGCAGTTAACATGTAGAAAATGATACCATGGATGATAGCCCACAAATTGTTTGTTTGTTTGCTTGCTAGGGATCTATATAGGGATATGCTTTTTTAACATTCATGCACCATGAAATCAAGTGAATTTAATAAAGGAAAATGATAAATAAATTTATTTCATAAATTTAATAATGTATAAGTAATATAATTAATTAATAATTATAAAAATATAAGAAAAAATATCATTTTTAATATCTTAATTAATTATCATATTATTGAATTTAAAAATTAATTCTAATATTTAGCCTTCAATAACAATAACCTTTAATAAAAAGACATTTTAAAATTTTTAATGCATGGATGAATGACTCATCTTCCCCCATCATTTTCTCCCTAAAAAAGTGAAGTGGATGGCCAACCTCCACTTTCAAGTTGTTCCGTAAAATATCATTATTATATATATAACAAGTCGTGGCGTGCTTATATAAATACTGATAAATTATCATATATTAGTCGCTTTCATTCCTTTGTCTTAGTTTCTCTTTTATATTGATGGGTGTTTGAAAAATTATTATTTTAGTTGGTTAAAAATTTTATATTTAAAAAGATGATTGAATTTTTTGTAGTTAAATGTGATATTTGTAGAAAAAAAATAAAATGATTATGAATTTGATATGATATTTTATTTTATTAATTATTTTAACTTATTTTATCTTTCTATGAATTTTAATATAAATTAGCTAAAATTTCATTTCTCAAACAGCCTCATTCCATCTTTTATTTTTAAATGTTATCTTTGTTTTCTATATGCAATATTTGACAAATTTCAATCCTCATTTTCTTTTTAATTACAATAAAAAATTTATCAATAAAAAAGGTATATATCACAACTCAAAAGGACTTAATATGTATATATTGATGAATATAAATATTAATATCGTTATGAATAAATTAGAGAAATTATTAAAGTAGTATAATCCATAGAAGATAACATTGATAATATATGTATATGTGGATCCCCTCTAAATTTTATTAAACTTTTCAAATTCAAATCTTGAATTAAATTCCAACAAATTTTCAAGATCAATATCGGATTTGGTATGATGGCCCCATTTCTCACATTTTTTTTTTTTTGTTTACATAAATCACGTGCAAATCTAAATAGTTAAATAACATTAAAGACATATGAACAAAATTTTTGTATAAAACTATATTAATAATAATAATATGTAATTCAAATTCAATTATTATATAATAGAATTTACGTCTCAAATGAATTAAGACTACACATTTCTATGTAAAAATCTCTATGTTAATAACACAATATCCAATAATTTTTTTAATTTATTTTAATTACACATGCCATATACATCAGTCACTAATATATAAATTTATAAAGAAAACCCATATTTTGTTGGCGATGACGATTGCTATAGCAATGACAATGGCAACGGCGATGGCAATTCATTAGCCATCTTAAAGAAACAAATAGATACAATGTATCTGGTAGTGAGTCCACAATGTTAAGTGTACAGCTGTCAAGTAGGCATGTTGGAGTTAAGTGGTGGATGCTGCCAAGAAGCACACACAACACTACACAACTAACTAAAAAGCACACAAGCACAAGGTATGAATTATAGTTAAATAAGAATACGCAAGTGGAAGGAAATTAAACAAGAAAACAAAACTGCTAACAGGCAGCCGATGGAGGACTGCCCACCCAAACTGAAAAGTACACGTCTTACCCAGGTATTGTTTATAAATATTTTATTTTTTTGTATTTAAGCAAAATTTAATTCTTAATGTAAGAATCAGAAAAGATATTTTTTTGAAAGTTCACCCAAAAAATTAATTAAATAATTAAAACGAATCACCATAAAAGGAATAGATAGATATTTACCATGTGACAAAACAAAATAATTTTAAATGGTAGGTCTATGTATAAGATTTATACTCTATTTTTACTTATATTTTTATAATAATTAAGATCTTAAGTTTATTCAAACGAAACATAATATTCATCAATGAACTAAGTTAATGTCAAATAGTCAAGAATTAATTCCAGTGAATCTCTTTTTTTCCAAAATCTTACGCCTTCAAATTTGACTATGTCTACAATTGCCTTGCCGACTTCAACATCATTGCCACAAGGGCCAATTATCTAAGTTTCCTCTACTCTAGCAAAGTGACTATAATATGACACTCCTCCATAACGGTAAGTAAATCTGTACCTCGTGTTTGTAGGCTTTGGATGACACAATTCTCAATTTGAGGATATGGCATACATTTTTTGAGTTAAAATATTCTTAAAAAGATAAAATAAATTAAAAATTTTAAAAGACAAAATATTACATTTAAATCATCATTATTTTTTTTTTTCTCACAAAAGTTAAAAAAGTCAAAATGTCCATTCCAAACGAGACTTTTTAACCCGGGTTAAAATAATCAAAAGTGAAAAAGTCAACTCATATTTCAAACGAAGGCTGCAAGCAGTTAGTACATAAACTGTGACACTATGAAATTTTACAAACAGATGTTGAAATTGTAAAAAAAATTATTTTCTGCATAATTTTTTTTAATATGAATATTGTTTGATAAATCTTGGTAAATCAGTTCCAAATATAAATTTTTATTAAATAAAAAAATTTGTATTATAAAGGTTATGAAATTTTAAAATTTTAAAAAAAAAAACTATATGGAAAAGAAATGAAGAGAAAATTATTGAGCACTCACTCCGTTTGTTGGGCATAAAAGCAATAAGGCCCCGTTTGTTTGGAGCGTTAAAGTGGAGATTGGGATTGGTATAGTGAGGTGAGACCCATTAACATGTGTTTGTTTTGAGAGATGGGCAGAGAATTGATAGTGAGCTCTGGATTGTGAATCTTCTTGGGGAGGGGATTCGGATGGGCCTCCAAGACTTGGTATTAGAAAAATAGTCCGCCGGACTAGAAATTATTTATTTTTTATTTATTTTATTTTTTACATGTTGGGCATTTTTTTGAACATTAATGTTTAATTTTTTATATTTTTTATTAAGTAAAAATCATTATTTTCTTTGTTTTATTTTTTTCGGAAATAAATATGCTAAATACAAGTAAGGATGAAACATAAATACTTCCCGGTCACATATAATATGTTCACTTTCATTATTCTAAACATTTGAAAAAAGCATCTATATTTTTAAATTAATTGTTTTGTTCCACAATTTTAACCAAGACAAGAACTAACTAAGATATTTTAATTTGTAAAAATAACATTTTTTTTTATAAAAATATATTATTTATTGATTGATCTTATTAAAGGGTACAAATGCCAATAACTAATAAATAATTTGAGATTAATGGAAAACTTTTCTACATCCATTTCGTTTTTATCTCAGCAATGTCAAACTATAGAATTGCATGAATTCCATGGTTAGTGATGATACTTTGTTTTGTGTATTTCTTGTCTCCCTCGTATAATTTATTATTTGTATTTTATCGTAATCTACCCAACAATAAAGAGAGAACAAAACAGGCACCATAGAGAGAACTTATATCAACAAATGAACAATAAAATGAATCTAATCATCCCATTTCCACAGACGATTCGCTGTTTGAAAGGATTGAGCTTCTACATCGTTCCAGAAAAAAAAGAGGAAAAAGAATATACAAAATTTAAAGAGCTAGTTCAGACTCCGTCGAAAAACAAACAGCGGCGGATCTGACTGTACTTCTTTTTTAATCCGGGTTCAAGTATTGGATGATTTGAGATTGTTGGAGGAAAGAAAAGGATGGTTCAAGAGCTGCGACGTGGACCACCTCTTGCCAGACTCTTTCTGTAGACAACACTCCAAAAAACTCCGAAAGTCGTCCGACGCACCCTCCGGCGAGCTCGGTGGCTCTCCAAAGCATATTGCGCACATTAAAGTCGCCCAGTCTGGTCTCTGACCCGGCGGCAATAACGGAAAGTGACCCATATACAGCTCCATCAGTGTCAACCCCAAGCTCCATATATCCCCTGCGTACCCGTTATAGTTCCCTCCGTATGTGTCCGGGTCGAACCTCTCCGGACTCATGTAAGCGCAAGTCCCCACATACGAATTGCAGGGATCCAGGGTCCGACACATAATCTTGCTCACTCCGAAATCAGCGATCTTCACTTCCATCTTGTGGTTCACGAGGAGGTTGGAGGGCTTGATGTCTCTGTGGATGATCTTGTGGGAGTGGAGGTAGTTGAGTCCGCTCAGAACCTGAGTGGCTATGGAGGCCAAAGATGGTTCGGAAAATGTTCCTTTGGTTTTGAGGAGGGTGTCTAGGGTTCCGGAATCCATGTACTCCATGAGAAAAGCGATGTCGCCGCTGGGCTTCTCGAAGATGCCGTGGCACTGAACCACGAAGGGGGAGTCGGCGCGGCGGAGGATCTCCATCTCGCGGAACACCTGGCGGCGGATGGTGGGGTCGCTGTCGCCGTGGACTACTTTGAGGGCGTAGAGGGCGGAGGTGTGCTTGTGGCGGACCTGGTAGACCGTGCCGCCGTTGCCGTGGCCGAGGACCTGGAGCTTTTCGAGGTCGGCGGTGGTGATTGCGGAGGAGGAGGAGGAGGAGGAAGTGGAGTGGGAAGTGGGAGGTGGGGGTGGGAGTGGCAAGGGGAAGCGTGGGCGGCGGTCGGAGATATCAGGCAAGGGAAGTTTGAGATTAAGGTGGCGGCGGTCGCGGACAAGTGCCATGTGATAAACCTGCCTGGTTGGGTTGGGGTGAATTCCAAAAACAAAATTGATTCATCTAAGAATTTGGGCAAGGAGAAGGGGGTTTATATAAGTGGGAAGTTAGAAGCACGTGGGTGGAGTTGGGTGACGTCAGTAGTGAGGATGGATGCGTGGGAGGGAGGGAGGGAGTGAGTGAGACAGAGAAGAAGGAAAGTGGGAGGATAGGGGGTGGGTGGCGCTCACCGATTAGGATTGGGTTGGGTGATGATGTTCATCCTTGCGTGCCTTTTTTTGGTTTTTTCTGGGTTTTTTGAAAGCAACTGGCTTTATCCCATGTGACCATTTTTTTGGCCAATTATTGCTTTTTTGTTTTCTTTTGTACTACCGCCTCTTTGCTAACCTCGGTTATTTTAATTTGTTTTTTAATTTTTTAGATATTAGCGTAAAACTTGTATTATACATGGAAAAATTTATCAATAAATCTCATTTCACAAACTATTAAACCAATTAGTCTCAACTTTATTCTTTTGTTCGGATAAGTCCTATCAGTGGGGAAGTTTGTTTTTTGCTGATCCTATTTTCCATGTTTAGTGTAACTGCGTGGACAATTTTACCCAATTAGTCAGAGCCTTCAATTTCCTCCATTAATGGCCGTGAAAACTTGTGGGTCTTCACACTCTGCTTTGCTCGATCATGAAAAATCGATTCTACAACAACTCAAAGATTGCCACAGATTATCGAGTGTTTCGGAGGAGATTTCAACTTCGAAAACGACGAGAAATTGTACAATCTGTTCTTAGAATATGCTATGGGTGGTTCTTTGGCTGACAAGCTCAAGAACTCCAGTCACCTGTGTTCATGGTGTCTTGTGTCTGTTAGAGAGAGAAGATATGTGTGTGGTTGGGTCTCCATGTGAGAGAGAGAGAATGCTGAGAGAGATTAGTGGTGTCTAAATGAGGGTAATTACGTCTCTTAGAATTTTCTAGGACTAAACGGTTTACTAGAATAAAAATGGGACCAATTGGTTCATAAGTTTACATTTTGGGATTTATTGGTAAATCTCCCTTATACATGTGCAAGTAATCAAAAGTGATAAATAATATTAAATATATTAAAATTTAATTAAATATTATGATATAAATTTGAGTGAATTAAACTATATTTATATAGATGTGCAAGACTTTTTACTTTTTTATTTTTTATTTTTAGTATATTCAATCGGATAAACTCAATGAAAATGAAGAATAAGAGTGAAATTATATAAATATTAGAAAAAAATAAAAATAATAATTTTAAATTTGAAGATAAATTATATAAATATAAAAAGAGAAAATTAGATAAATTCTCAAAAAAGAATAAACTCAACTGAAAAAGAACAATAAATGTGGATTTTGTACATATAAGATAAAAATAAAAATAAAAAATCAAGTTTAAATAGATAAACTATAAGAATATAAAAAAGAGAAAATAGAGAGAAATTTAGTATACATCAAATGAAGATGAAAAAAAGAAATCAAGTTAAAATTTAAAAATTCAAAAATAAAATAAGCTAAACCCGAAAATAAAAAATCTAATATAACTTTAATAATAGAAGAAATAATAGTAAAAAATGGATAAGAGTAAAATGTCATCTATAAATTTTTAAAATTTGTTAAAAAAATCTCAAAAATATGAACTGATGTGTAAAAATCTCATAAACCCATTAGAGCTTGTTTGGGAAGAGCATCTTGGTTAAAATAGTCATATAAGACAAAATAAGTCATTTTAGCAAAATATGACAAAAATGTCACATCAAATTCATAATCATTTCATTTTTTTCTTTCAAAAAAGTCAAAAAGTCTATTCCAAATGAAACTTTTTAGCCCCAGATTAAAATAGCCAAAAAGTCAACCCACATTCCAAATAAGCTCAAGTTAAAAATTAGATAAAAATTAAATGTCATCTATAATTTTTTAAAATTTAAATTTCGTGTAGTTAAGAAACAAGCATTTGTGATATTTTATTATACAAATGTTAACTCTATTTTGTGTTTGCTACTTATAATTTTTTATAATTTTTGTATTCTAAAACTACTTAATTGAAAAAAATTCAACGGATCACCTTTTTATTTCTTAATTTTGTTTTGTCAATAGCCTATAAATTTCAACAATTTTGTGTTTTGAAGCTACTAAATAAAAAATTAAAAAAAATAGCATCACTTTTGTTTTTAAAACCTTAGTTAGTTTTATTTTTATTTTGTGTCATATAATAATATAATCATTCATTTTAATTTTGTTTTGTGTCAATAAATTATAAATTTCAGCAATTGGTTTTTTATTCTGAAGCTACTAAATAATATAAAAAATAACATCACTATTTTTTATAAAAAAAAACTTAATTAGTTTTAATGTTACTTTGTGTTATATGATAATATATTTATTCATTTTAGATAATAAGGCCTTAAACATAGAATGCAGATGACTTGAATGTTGATCTGGTAGTGACGCGTATTCTGTTTGCAAATATAAAATTCAATAATCATAGAAAAAATTTCTTACCTTTCATTTTTGTCTAAATATATAAAATATATTTATTTAAATTAATTTTTTTAATTTTGATTATAAATTTGTAATTTGTTTATAATTTCAACATAACATAGTTGAATAATAATTTTATTAAAAGATTCACATATTGAATTCAATTTGTTTAAAAATTATATGACCTTCAAAATTGTAATTGAAATTAACTATTAAATAATAATTAAGTAAAAAATATGTGTATTGACTTTTTGTTCTTCAAATGGGTCCAAAAGACCCCGTCTACAATTGATTTTTGTTATAGACTTTTTACTGTAAAAGAGAAACTTGTCATTTAAAAACTTACTTAATTAATGTATTCATTACATATATGCTTATTAAAAGATTCACATATTGAATTCAATTTGTTTAAAAATTATATGACCTTCAAAATTGTAATTGAAATTAACTATTAAATAATAATTAAGTAAAAAATATGTATATTGACTTTTTGTTCTTCAAATGGGTCAAAAGACCCTGTCTACAATTGATTTTTGTTATAAACTTTTTACTGTAAAAGAGAAACTTGTCATTTAAAAACTTACTTAATTAGTGTATTCATTACATATATGCAAAGAAACAAATTTAAACCTATGAAGATCTCAAATAAATAAAATTTAAGCAAAAATATTATAGAGTTACATAATTAAATTTAGTTATATTTGGATTTAAAATTGGGTGTCCTCCTCATATATTACAACACAATGGAACACATAAATTAATATAATTAAAGAAAAAAAATAAATGGAATTGAACAAAAACTTCCTTCAACCCCATGAGTGCGTTCCAAATACTCTTCTCCTCGATTGATAAAATTTTTCTCAAAAAAAAATAGTGTGAACTTCAAATACATCGTAAAACATCACTTTTTGTGTTAGTCTTTTAGCAATTTTTTTTTGTTGCTACCTTTTTTTTTCTGTACGTTATACTTGTAAAAAAAAATTTAAATGAACAATAGATTTTGGAGGCATAATCGCATCTACTATATTATTATAATTTCAATAACAAACTTAGATTATGAAGCAAAAATTAAATAAATAAATACATCAAATAAACTAAAATTGAAACAAAGAAAAGAAATCAAGAGAGAGAGAAAAAAAAATAAACACAATATGAGATTTTAAATATGTATTTCTTTTTATATATGATGCCAAAAATATTGCACAATTCGTCAAATCACATGTTTAATTTCTCTATAGGATTCCTTCTCTTCTCCAATCTTTTTGTCCAATTTCGTATTGTCATGGAAGTTGAGTTTTGAGATTTATAAGTTTAACTTTTTGTTAAATATCTTTGGATGAGATATAAATCTATTGAAGGAATTTGAATTAAAGTCAATTAACTAATATTTTATCTTTAAAATATTTTTAAAATCTTTTATCCATTTCAAATTTGAATTTTAAAATGAATTTGTATACTTTCTATTTGAAAGTTATAAATCAAGGGATATAAATAGATTAATTAATATTTTTTTAAATGATTCAATAAAAACTAGCCAAAAGAAGATTTTTTAATTATTTAAAAAATAATAAAACTACAAAAATAGTATGAGCATTTTGAACTTCACAAGGGTCTGCTCATTAGAAACCTCATTTTTCCTTAATACATACAGATTTTATAAGATGAAAAAAAATTGTATTGGAATAATTTGTGAATTTTTTTTATAGTTGAATAGATAATTGTGAGAGAAAAAGTTACTGATTGATATCTAGAATGTGAGATTGGAAGTATTTGGTGTAGCTGCTAAAACATATAGAACATAAGCTAAGAGATAATAGATTGAAATGGTTTGGTTATATACAATGGAGACCAACAGAGATAGTAGTGAAGAGATACGATACAGTGACGGTAGAGAGAAGTGTTAGGGGAAAAGCAAACCTAGATTGACGTGGGCTAGTGTAGTAAATAGATATTGAATCTCCTTAGTTTGACTAACCAAATGGCATTTGATAAGGTTGAGTGGAGAAAAATTATTTATGTAGCCGACCCATTTGATGGGACTTAAAACTTAATTTTGTTTGGTTTACTTTAATCAAAAGTTATTAATCTATTTGGTGCAGCTGCTAGATTATATATTTAAGTTGCTGAGTAGTGTTTGATAAATAAGTTGTGAAATAGCTTTTTGATATGTAAATGTCATTTTTACCCATGTTAATTGTAAATTGAATTGACCTTTGTTAGTTGTAAATTAAATTAACTTTTATTTTTTTGTTATTAACTACTAGTCAGCATTTCCCATAAGATACATTTAAAAAAAGAGTTTACAGTCCATTTGAGTCTTCCTTTTTTAAAAAAAAAAATTCAAAAAAAAAATAAGACTATAATAATAAATAAGTTATTATAATCAGAAGCGAGGTGGGAGCATCTTCTTAGAATCAGTTTTTTTGAGTTAAAATAAATTACTAGAATCAGAAACTATTTGAAATAAGTTTAAATAAATATTCCAAAATAGATACATATTTTGTAAATGACAACACGTGGCCAAGGTGACTCCGAAGTGTCAGCCGAGGTGTCACGTGGCCTGGTCATGCTACTGAGATGATCTCGGCTAGGTCGAGGTTATTTGCGGAGATACCGAAATTCGAGATAAGCAGATAAGGGACAAAAGTCCTAGAACAGAGGAGGCTCTCAGTCTGGATAAAAATAAGGTTCAAGAAGAGTTCATCTCTATCTAGATGAGGGTCCAGGATGAGCATTGAGCCTGAGTCCATTGAAGTGAAAGTTCTAAAGGGATCAGGTCACTACTGGTTATAAAAGCAAGACACCCTTGTGGGTCTAAGGTAAGTTCTTTATTGTGAGTTTAAGCACTTTTTGCTATTTGTGAGAGATATTGTTTTAC